ACGCCCCCACTGTCTGTCTTTATAGCAGAGGATCATCTTTGTGGCCTCCTCTGGACTTGTTCCAACAGGTCCGTGTCCTTCTTGGACTGGGTCCAGAGGAGGACCACGAAGATCACTGAGGCTTCCTATACCTTGTGGTTCTCTTACTGTTTAAAAAATAAAACAAAATTTGGGGAAATGAGGTGTCTGACAATGCTGTCACTAGAGGGCACTGCCGGGACATCGATGGGGCTGTCGGGACACTTTTTGGCCCTATGAGGAATAGCCCTGCAGCTATCTGTAGTCCTGCATAGACTTTGGACCTTCTCTGCGGCCTGTGAGCTGTTGGAGACCCATCTGTGTGTTGTGTACATCTAGGCTGGTGGCTTTGCCGTGGGATCTTGGCTGATGTTGGCTTGTTTGTGAAAAGGTGTCACCATCCCTAGATGAAAAAAGTGTTTGTGAAGAGGCAACAGCACCAAGTAGGAAGGGACCATGGCTGAGCTGGTGTGTGTATGTTGTCATGGGACTACAATAAGGCTGTGACCCGCCATCCTCTGCAGTTCAGATGGAGGTCAGGAACCCCAAAAAACAGTGGCTGGTGCAGGTAGGATTGAACCATCCTCTGGAGCTCTGCAGGATGCTTTTCCTCCAGCTTGCCTAGAAAAAATTATTTTGAAGTATTAGTTTCCTAAGAAGAGCCAAGATGTTCCTTGGATCCACTAGATCTCTTTGCTCTAGCCAAAGAGCTCAGGAGAGGATGGTGGCTTTGCCGCATTCAAGAAGTTATCCAAGATCCACTGGACAACCATGAGAGGTTCTTGCATCTGTTATCTGTTGCACAAATCTCAGCTTTGAGCTTCCCATGATTGTTCTGTCTGCATGGGAAAGTATTTGAGATGAAACCTCTGCAAGTAGGATCCTGGCTATTCAGCATGGTCCTGAAAGTGATCATGGTCAGAAAGCAAACCTTTCCATGTTGTCCTGTGGAATTATTAGTTTGGGACTCATCATGGTGACTGCTGAAAGCCCTGTGGCTCAGTGACCTGAACATAAATCAGGATTTCCACTCTCCCAGAAAAGAAAATGAGGTGTGTGATTGCAAGATGAGCTACGTCAGCATCCTGCTGTGCCAAGTGCTCTGGGTATTGATCTGCAGATGAGGCTGTGCCCAAGTCTTGCCAGTGTCTGTTCTCACCCCTTATCCCTGTTTTGGCACCATGTTGAGCATGGGGACACACTGAACAACTGCCTGGGGCTGCAGGGTTGGGCTGTCCCCATAACTGATGCTAAAAGTCCTCTCCCTTCTTAGGCAAACCCCTGAAGTTGAGCCTGACCACGGAGGAAATTGCCACCTTCTATGCCAAAATGCTCGATCACGAGTACACGACCAAGGAGATCTTCCAGAACAACTTCTTCAATGACTGGAGGAAGGTACTTTCCCTGCAGAGGCTTCCTTGCTGTCCATACTCCACATTAAACACTTAGCATTAAACTTGTCATCTCCAGGCAGACCCTTGGCTGCAGTGGAATGGAGGAGATCAGGGTTTGTTTTGTGGCTTAATTCCTTACAATTATGAGGTCCTAAACTTTATGATTGATTTCCTTGCTGCCTGTGGATTTGGGCTGGGACTTGTTGTCTGTAGCATCTTTAAGTGCTTCATGTTGTGCCCTCTGAGTTGTAGTGGTGCTACCTAAGAAAGCAAATGCTGGGCCTTGCAAACAGCTTTGATACCTGTTTGGGGCATATGTCCCTCTGAAGGATTGACCTCGTGGTCCTGCAGCACCATGGCTTAGACCACAAGTGAAAGAGACCTCTACTAGGGCAAGTTCACATACCCCAAAAACTGTTTGTTACAATCTATTTGGTCTCTGCGAGGTGCTTGTGGACTGCTTGTTTCCACAGTAGAGGTTAGAGGTTGCTCCACCCCAGAGCTGGCTGCATTTTAGGATCATAGAACGGTCTGAGTTGTGAAGGGACCTTCAAGATCATCTAGTTTCAAACTCCCTGCCACAAACAGGGACACCTTCCCCTAGATCAGGTTGCTCAAAGCCTCATCCAACCTGGCCTTCAACACTTTGAGGGATGGGGCAGCCACAACTTATCTGGGCAACCTGGTCCAGTGCCTCACCACCCTCAATGTAAGAAATTCTTCCTTATCTCTAATCAAAATTTCCCCTCTTTCAGTTTAAAGCCATTGCCCCTTGTCCTATCACTACATGCCCTTGGAAAAAGTCCCTCTCCAGCTTTTTTGGAGGCCCCCTTTAAGTATCCGAGGGCTGCTATAAGATCACCCTGGAGCCTTCCCTTCTCCGTGCTGAACAGCCCCAACTCTCAGCCTGTCTTCATAGCAGAGGTGCTCCAGCCCTCGGATCATCTTCATGGCCTCCTCTAGACTCACTCCAGCAGCTCCATGTCCTTGCGTTGGGGACTCCGGAGCTGAATGCAGTATTTCAGGTCTCATGAGAGCAGAGTAGAGGGGCAGAATCTCCTCCCTTGACCTGTTGCCAACGCTGCTTTTCCTTTGCTGTGGGTGCAGACTCAGATGTCCAGACGGAGCCTGGCCACCTGCCATGGCAGCTTTGTCCATGAGTGGATGTGTCTAGGATAGCTGGGGTGTCTACTTCCTTCTGATTTTTCTGAAGAACTGGCATGTCAGTCTGTCCTTCCTTTTCTGTCAAGGAGAGGCATAGGCAGCAGCTCTGTGCAGAGTCGTTTTTGCCTCCTGGCTTTACCCAGCCCCTCTCATATCTTGCTCAGGAGATGACCTCAGAGGAGCAAGAGGTAATCCAAGACCTGGACAAGTGTGACTTCAGGGAGATCCACAAGTACTTTGTGGACAAAAATGAGGCACGGAAAGCACTCTCCAAAGAAGAGAAGCAGGTGAGAACTGTTTGCTGTGACATCTGGGACTGGCTGATATGTTTTGACACCAGCTTGGGTATTTCAGTTCCTGCTTGTCTCTTTTCCTGGTGTTATGCCCTGACCAGGGACCTGTTTAGCTTCTGGACCAGCTCCATCTCTCCATGACCATCACATCCTTCTTCATTAAGTTTATCTGCAGAGGCTGCATGTTTCATGGGTTTGCAGGGTACCAGTCATCCTCAGACCACGATTTGAGGTCCTGCCCTGTCCAGAGGATGGTGGCCCTTGCTAAGGGGCTGGTGGCACACAGGCTTTGCTCCATCAGTGTCTCATATGAGGACAGCATCGCCATGAGGGTTTGCAAAGTGGGTGGAGATGAGGCGTTTGTTGGGACTGGACTTGATCCCATGCTCACGTCTTCCTCCAATCCTTTGAACTCTGCCGTTCCAGCCTTGCTTTCTCCAGGCAAAGGAGGGTAGCAATAGGTAGGCATGAGTCATGGGGTTTTGTTTTCATCCTGTGGGGTGATGGTGGGGTTGTTGTTCTTTTCAGAAACTGAAGGAGGAGGCGGATAAGATCCAGGAGGAATATGGGTACTGCATGCTTGACGGGCACCGGGAGAAGATAGGCAACTTCAAAACCGAGCCACCAGGGTTGTTCCGTGGACGTGGTGACCACCCCAAAATGGGCATGCTGAAGAAGAGGATCATGCCAGAAGATGTTGTCATCAACTGCAGCAAGTGAGTCGCCATGGAAAGAGCTGAGCTCCCTAAAGCTGAGCTGTTTTTGGGACTGGGATAAACAACACACCTCCTCTGCCTTGAGTTGCTGTGGGTTTTTGTTGTCTCCTACAATCACTGCTTGGCACACCCTGGGGCTTGAACTCACTGGAGACCTTCTGTCACCTCCTGCTCACCTCCAAGTATCTACTTTGCAGTTAGGTCTGGCCTCTACTTTCTCTGTGGATGTGCAGTGACCAGGGAAGCTGTTCAGCAGCTGCCACCTCTCACTGTTGCCTGCACTGTTCACCCAACATTCACTGCAAACACTGCAGTGGTCCTACAGCCTCTCTGAAGAAGGGACAACTTTTTTTTCCATTCCCTGTGCTCCTCTTACAAACAAAGCCATCCCTTCTCATTTGATGGGTCCCCCATGCTGGCTGGAGGGAGAAAAAGCAGTGGTTGGCATAAGAGTGTTTGCCCTCTAAGTTACATGAGTTGCGTTGGTCTTAACCACCCATATGAAGACCTTGCAGCCTTGATTCTAAACACTCCCAACCAGCCCAGCAAGTTCTCCTGTTGTCCCCAGCATCCAAAGGATAAAGACCCGATCATGTTGTGGAGCAATTTGGGTGGGCTGTATGTTTTCCGCAAGTAATGCTGCAATGTGTTGACCATCCTTGGCTCACTGTAAAGAAGCATTTGAGCTGACGACCTGTTTCTTCTTCATGGTCCAAAGGCTGTAACCCTGCTCTGCCCGCAGGGACTCCAGGATCCCCAAGCCACCAGAAGGGCACAAGTGGAAGGAGATACGCTTTGACAACACCGTTACCTGGCTGGCCTCATGGACGGAAAACATCCAGAACACTTTGAAGTACATCATGCTGAACCCCAGCTCCAAGCTGAAGGTTGGAGTGATGCTGCTGTTCGGGCAGAGCTGTTGCCTGTTGGGCCACCAGCTTTTTGCCCGATGAAATGGTCAGGGGAAAGCGCAGATGTAGCATGTCAACAAAAATGTACTTCCCTGCCTAAAACATGGTAAACCAAATTAATTGGGATGCCATTGGGTGGTGAGAGGAAAAGGACAGAGATTACTGTTAAGCATCCATCTGTTCTAGGGGATGGGCTGCTGCTGGCAGAGCCGTCCCTGTGCCATGCTGCTCATGTGTATCCAGGGAAGGCTGTTGAAAGCCAAGCAGGGGCTGAGAAGGTCCACGGAGATCTGATCTGTGGGATTGAATTCATTTTTGCCAGGAAATGGAGGGTAGGGGAAGGTGAGACCACCATCTGTAGTGCCACAGGAGAGAGGGAGTGAATGCTGTGGGGAGAGAAAGGTGATTTAAAGCTATTTCCAGTCCTCAAAGCAAATAAGGAGACTGCGTTCAAGTTGGACACAACCGAGCAAGTGCATTGTGTCTGTCCGCATTGGTGGTGTCCAAGCAGCAGCCGTGACCATGTGGTGCTTGACATTTGGCTCCTCACTTGCTGTGTGCTGGCTGCTAGCTGATGGAGGACACCCCCAGACTATGAGTAGCTCAGACTTGGCTAAGATCCCAGGTCCATCACAGCCAGCAGAGAGCACAGAAACCCTAGACGAGGTGTTTTCTGCTCTGATTTTTCCACTTTATGGATTTTTCTCAAGAAAACAATGAGGTTTGAGCAGTGTTTAGGTGCTGATGGTGTTCCCAGAGTAGCGTTTGACTGGTAGGGGTGGAAGGAAGATGGGTCACTGGGTGAAAATGTCTTGGCCTCTCTTTCCAGGGGGAGAAGGACTGGCAGAAATATGAGGTAGCCCGGCGCTTAAAGGATGTTGTCCACAAAATCCGTGCTCAGTATCGAGCCGACTGGAAGTCCAAGGAGATGAAGAAGCGGCAAAGAGCAGTGGCCCTCTATTTCATTGATAAGGTATCCACAGCCTCACCCTGGCCCCAAGGTCCCCTATCCCTGTTGAGGTTTGAGCTTAGCTTACCTGATCTACTTCACCCCGTAGATTTTTGGTGTCTGGTGGCTGTACTAGCCAGGTTTGCTCCTCATGAGGCCTCTGGCAATGATCATGGAGGATGGTGGCTCCTACTATCTGCTGATGCTTTTGTGTGACAGTGTGGGAGCTGTACTGTCCTTCTTGGACGTTACTTGCACGTGTGTCTCTGCATGATGGCAAAGGCCTCACTGGAGAGCTGGATAACTCTGTTCTGGGGGGTTATTTTGTTTTTTTTTTTTTAGAGCAGTGAAATAATCTCCTGTTGGAGGCAGTCACTGCTTGGTTTCCACCAGGGTCCCAGCAGTCATTCAGTGAGGCACTGTCCTGAGAAATCTTTCTTTCCACCTCACACTTCCCTTAGCATCCATATCCCCTTTAATAACCTTGGAAAAGAGGAATCAAGGTGGGTTGGGATAGATGACTTGCTGTCTACTTCCAGCTGGCACTGCGAGCCGGCAATGAGAAGGAGGAAGGTGAGACTGCGGACACGGTTGGCTGCTGCTCCTTGCGAGTGGAGCACATCAAGCTACACCCCGAGCTGGATGGGCAGGAGCACGTGGTGGAGTTCGACTTCCTTGGGAAAGACTCGATCCGTTACTACAACAAAGTGTCGGTGGAGAAGCTGGTGAGTGAGGCAGAAACGGAAGCAGCGGCCAGCATGGCAATTCAGTGCACGGTTAGCTGGGTGGCTCAGTTGACTCAGCGGTCATTGGTCCCAAATCGGCATCTGAAATCAGTTGCAAAGGTGCCTCCTGTGCTTTAACACCATGGTGACAACATGTGTGTGAGATGTAACAGTTCTGGGTGATGAGGACGCACACGTGCTTACCCTGACCTTGAGAATGAGAAGAAAATTTGGTGTGTACAGCTTTCAAGGTTGTTTTAACCTATGGACCATGAGAGAGAAGTCCTGCCTTCTGCTGGAGCATTGTCAGTTGACTGGTGGGCATTAAGACTTGAACTGTCATCACGGATGTTTTAATTTTTGCTTTTAATGGTGTTTGTGGGGAAACTGGAGTGCTAGGGATAGCAGAGTTGGGAGTGGGAAACAGCCTATGGCACCAGTGGCTTTGAGGTCCCAGTAGAAGCCCTTGAAGTTGAGCAGGTTGGTGGTGTAGTAGGATGTGTATTCCACGAGTCGGAATCTGGGTCTATCTGGATGAGGAGACAAATGGAGATGAGGGAGATACTTGGGATTGATTTGCTCCTTGTCCCTGGCCGGGGCCATCCTTTCTGCCTCTTTAGGTGTTCAAGAACCTGCAGCTGTTCATGAAGAACAAGGACCCAGGAGATGACCTCTTTGACAGGCTTAACGTGAGTTGTCACCTTTGTGCTCTTGAAATGGCATTGATGGCCCAGAGGGAGTAGAAGCAAATCCATGACACCCTTGTCCAGCCTGCAAGCTCACAGGCTCTACTGCTACATCAGTGCCATCCTTTACCCTCGTTCTAACTCTTTCCTCTCCAGGGACACCACTGTTACTGTTTGAGCACCGTGTTGGAATGCTGTGATATAGGTTTTTTTCCCATCCTCTTTCTGCACTGGTAGCATCTCTGTTTCCCCAAATGCAGGCTTGGTTGCCTGCTTGCACCCATAAGTAACCCATGTCACCACTAAGGAGGTGACTTTCTGCTCCTTCCCTCCTTTAACTCATCTGCTTGGGCTTTTTTTAGCCTGGGAAGGCCTGCCCACACACATGTTGCTCAGGGTGTTGCTCAACACCATTGCTGGAGATGTCAAACCTCAACAGTTTGAGGCTTTCACACCTTGCTGGGGCTCAGCGGAAGTGTGAGAGGCTGCAGGAGTACAGGGATGCTGGAATGTTGTGCTGCAGCCTTCCCTTCTGAGCTACTCCCCTGCAAAAACCTCTCCTCCCTCCTCTTCCTCGGTATAGGATATGGGGTGCTGCCACCCATGCTCCTCTTCTGCCTGCATCCCCTAAAAAGCCACTTGCCCATCTTTCCTCTGAAGAGGCTGCTCCTCTCTGGTTATATAGGATTTATCTGTGATAGATTTTTGGTACAAGTAAGGCTTCCTCCAAACTCCAGATGATTACTCCTAGCATCTTCTGTTTCCAGTCCAACTGCAGCCCCATGTGCTCCATAGAACAGAGATCAGATGTGATATGTGAGATGTGATGCGAGATATCTCCTCTTGGATGTAGATGGGTAGAAATTGTTGACTTCCAGATAAATTCTGTGTGGATTTAGGTGGAGTTTGTGCCAGTTTTTGGTAGATGAGGGCCTGACCCAACAAGTATATCTGCAAACTGCAGGAGATTTTTTTTTTAAGGCCTAATTTGGTTGCTTAGGCAGAAAATGGTCTGCAAAGCAAGTGCTTTATTGTCCTGACTTCTCCTTGTTCTCTTCCTTCTTTTCTCCTTTACTTTGTCTTATTTTGCTTCCTCCAGACATGCATTTTGAACAGGCACCTTCAGAGTCTGATGGATGGTTTGACTGCCAAAGTGTTCAGGACCTACAATGCCTCCATCACCCTGCAGGAGCAGCTCAAGGCACTCACTAACTGTGAGTTACTAGCAGTGTTCATGGTCTCACCAGCTGTGTTGTATGACTGATGGGCTCAGCGATGTCCATCTGTTGCCTTGGGACCCCCAGAACAGCTGCCCATCCTTCCTTGGCAGCTGATGCAGCACATTGTAGGGTGCTATGTAACTTCTGGAAGTGTGCAGCAGGTAAGGAACCATGCTGAGAAAGTTACCTGCTCAGCGATAGTCTGGCTAACAGATAGCCAAGGTGGGAGTATTTCTTTTTCCCCTTTTATGTTACTGGTTGGTTACATCATTGCAAAGGAAGAAATTCTTCACCATGAGGGTGATGAGGCACTGGACCAGGTTGCCCAGAGAAGTTGTGGATGCCCCATCCCTGGAAGTGTTCAAGGCCAGGTTGGATGAGGCTTTGAGCAACCTGGTGTAGTGAAGGGTGTCCCTGGCCATGGCAGGGGAGTTGGAACTAGATGATCTTGAAGGTCCCTTCCAACCCTAAACCATTCTATGATTATTTTTGCCTGCCTTGGATGCATGAGTGATGAGATAGTGTCAGACTTAGTGATGCTCAAGTGTCCTTCACCAATTTCCACAGCCAGTATTGCTCTCCCTTAGAAATAGGATGGGAAAGGCAAACAACTTGCTGTTGTTCTGGTCTCTTCCTTGCCTTCCCCAGCTACCAGAAAGGAGACATAGTGATGCTTCCATTTATTTTCCAGCTGAAGACAACGTTGCGGGAAAGCTCCTCTCCTACAACCGAGCTAACCGAGCTGTGGCCATCCTGTGCAACCATCAGAGGTCTACACCAAAAACCTTTGAGAAATCAATGCAAAACCTCCAGACCAAGGTGAGACATACAAAATTGAGAACCCCTAGATCTGATCTCACTTCTGACTTTTTTTTTGTGGGGAGGGCTGGGACAGGAAACAAGGAGAGTGAATGACCTGATGTCTAAAGAGATCACATTGATCAAGTGTGGCAGGGAATGAACCAGGAATAGTGGCTTTTTTTATTCATTGCAGAGACATCAGCAACCCAAGGGTGGAGAGGGATGGGGCAAGCTCAAATGCTGGATGAAGCACATTGAGCATAGAGTTTGTGTTGGTTGGATTTTTTTTTATCACTTGGTGTCTTCAAACCAAGCTGGGTGCCTTTTGTGATGGCACAGCTTGGACACAGTTAGCGTGGGACCAGAGAAACTGGTTTTCCTGTTTAATGGATCTGCTATAGAAATATCTCAAACTACCACTTTTAATTGTCCTCAACTTTTGTTCATACTCTACTGGTGAGCTTGGGACTTTGCAGAGGGCTCCAGCACTGTCACGAGCCAGTCGGTCTCTGGCAGTTGCTCAAGAAGAACAGATAAGATCTGCGAGTGTTTTTGACATCTGTGCTGTGAGAATCTTTTGCAAGATGCTAAGAAATATTTGAGCTCCAGCAAGTGCTGTAGGGGCAAGTTTTTGAGGCTGGAAAGAAACTGAGGAGCAGCGTGGCAAAAGAAATGGAAAGAGGGAGGCAGCTGAAATTTCCAGGGAGGACAGGGGCATGGGTTGACTTTGCAGTTACCTTCACAGATTGATGCCAAGAAGCAACAGGTAGAAGAAGCCCAGCAGGAGCTGAAAAAAGCTGAAGATGAGTTCGAAGACACAAAAGATGCCAAAGCAGAAGCGTGAGTGACTCTTCCTGCTCACTTGGAGTTATCCTATAAATGTCATCGTGTAAAGGATGCTTAGCTTGAGGTTGGAGCTGAGGATACACACACTGGCCCTGATGCATGTTCTTGTGGGATGCTTGAGTGGTGGATTGCAGCCTGTCTGATCTCTGCAGTAGTCAGTGCATGGGGTCTGTCCAAATTTGTGCCCCCTCTCAGAGCCCAGATAGAACTTGCTGCCCAAAGATAGGAGAAGGCTGCAGGAGAGAAGCAAGAGTTGTATTTTATATTTTACTCTGGGGTTTCTTGTTTTCTGCTCCTGCCTGGTGTTGCTGAGATGCAGAGCAGGTTGTCAGAGATAGTCGTTGCTCATGGAGCCTGGATTTGAGGGGGTGGTCTTTGCTGAGTGGTGGCTTTTGTGCTTGTCCCACTTTGGTAATAATAATTCTATTTTTAGAAGTGTCTTATGAGGTTGGTGTACTTGGGAAATGGGTTGGTGCTGAATGGCATGTTCCACTTTGCCATTCTGGAGTATTTCTAGGCTCAAGCCTTACAGGTCTTAATGTGAGCGTAGAGCCTGCTCTGAGGTGAAGCTTGTTGACTTCCTGTTGTGCTCTCAGGCAGCAGCAGACCAAGAGAACTTCTCTGTATTTCACCTCTGGTGCTTTTCCCCTTTAACATTCCATCTGTGTTGCTTTTCCTCTGCCCTCAGCAATGTGGAGAAGAAAAAGAAGCTGTTGAAGCGACTGGAAGAGCAGTTGGCCAAGTTGAACGTCCAGGCCACAGATAAGGAGGAGAACAAGCAGATAGCTCTGGGCACGTCCAAGCTGAACTACCTGGACCCCAGGATTAGCATAGCTTGGTAAATCTTGGGCATGCTATGGGGCCCATGTTCCCTTAGAGACATGCAGATCACCTAGCACTGCTTAGGGAGGGGGACAAACACATGCCTAAGCCTTTGGGGGAAAGCAATAAACTTAGGTTCTGCCCAGAGAAACCTGCCCAAGCCCTGGAGATTTCATAGATTTCATAGATTTCTAGGTTGGAAAAGACAGATCATCCAGTCCAACTGTCCCTAATCTCCCATTAAACCATATCCCTAAGTAGTTCATCCACCCTTTTCTTAAACACATCCAGGGATGGGGACTCAACCACCTCCCTGGGCAGCCTAAATGATGAGATGAGATGTTGGGAAGGCCAGCTAAACCCAAAGCTAAGGCTTCCATTGCTGCAAATAGCTGTTTGCAGGATGTTCCTTCTGGGTTTAGGGCAAGAAGGAGTCATTTCGTATGTCTTTATTGGCAGTGGCACATAGCTTCTTCAGGAGCTTTGGGGCTAATGGGTTTGCAGGGGTGAAAGGTGCTGCACCCTGAGCAGAGAGGACCGCTGTGGTGGGAGCAGAGAGGGATGGGTTGCACATCCCCTCTGTTGTCTCGTGGTCTCTACAGGTGCAAGAAGTTCGGTGTGCCCATTGAGAAGATCTACAACAAGACACAGAGGGAGAAGTTTGCCTGGGCGATCGACATGGCTGACGAGGACTTTGAATTCTGAGACAGTGCCTTTTGTGTGAAGTTGTGCTCGTTTGGTGCTGTTGGAAAGCTTTCTTTTTTTTACTGGTGCTGTTGGAAAGCTTTTTTTTTTACATGCTGCTGTGTTTGTTGCAAGGGTGAGGCTGGGGGCTTGTCTAATGAAAGAGCAGTTGGCCAAGTTGAACATCCAGGCCACGGATAAGGAGGTGGATAATACCCTTTGATACGGGTATTTTGTGCCTTTTTTGAATATGAAAGAAAACACCCAGTTTCTTGTTGAAACAGGTATTTCTGACTTGCGACACTCATCCTGACCACAGTGACTCTGACGTGAACTTTTAATTCCTCTTCAGAGTTGCCAAGTTCTTCAGATCTTATGTTTCCTCCTTCAGAGTCTTAATTGTGTTGATGAACAAGATTAGATCTAATCCTGCTTGATGGTATTGGAGCTGTGCTGCCCTTTTCAGACTCTCTGAATTGGCTTGATGGGGAAACACAAGGCAATGACAGCACCAAAACAGGCAGCTGCAGTATAAGACCTGGGCTTGGGTCAGAGATGCACTGGAAGGAGGGAGAAAATCCCAGAGTTTTACATGTCAGGGTATTTTGTGCCCTCCAGGAGAGGAGAAAAACTGTGCAATTGCGCAAGCATAATCAAAATGGGAAAATCTTGTGGGAGGGAGAGAATGTCATGGCAGGAGGAGGGAGGGGAAGATGCTGGATTAAAAAAGCAGGTTTCACACTGAAGGGATGAAATTCACCTTGGCATGAGCAAAATGTGCTTTAATCGACCCTGTGTGGTTAAACCTTGGTCTGGTAGAGGACATCTCATTTGGGGCCATACTTTATTTCCCCAACTTGCTGCAGCTGGCTCTGAACTGGTAGACCAGTTATCAGCTCACTGTATCCACAGCAGAAAATAAACTGTCCAGCCCCAGATTTAGCCTTGGGGGGAAAGGATGATGCGGGCCGTGGGGCTGGACCCAGGCTATGGTGGGACGTGAGCATGCTGGGGAGCGATACCAATCTTGCAGGAGCTGTGCCTGCGTGGGATGATGGCTTCGCCATCAGGCTGCATTCTCCCCACTCTGCTCCCGCTGGGCATGGAGCAGGCAGAGACAGATAGCATAAACTGCTGGTGCTTGCTGCCTAATTGGCTGCTTTTCAGAAGAAAAAAAAAAGTGATATCAACATGTACCTGGCAACAGTTAGCCTGCATACCAGTGAATCCCAGGTGTGAGCAAGCCGTTGCACTGGCAGCAAAGCCTTCTGGCACCTCAGGGCTTGATGTTCAGGTTGCTATAGTCCAAAGCTCTCGGTGCTTCCCATGAGTTCGTTTACAGCCACTTGTTCTTGTGTTTAAACTATCTCTATTTTGGTTGGAAGTCAGATACTTGAAATGCATTTCATTAAACATGGACATGATTTTTTTTTTTCTGAGTATCGGGGACCGGAGGCTTTTTGCAACTCATGCAGGATGCAGTTCTGCTGGGAGCTGATGTGCAGAGGTCTGACCCAGGGCTCAGTCTCCATAACGGGGTCTGTGCATGCTCAGTTGTCTGCTGGGGATTAGGCTTGATAGGAAATCCTTTGTCTTCAAGCGAAGAACCTGCCTGTAGACCAAAACAAAACAAAAAAGCCACAAACCCCACGTTTATTCTTGGTCTGTAAGGGTCTTTATTCAAAAGTGAGCCACAAAAATGGAATTGTTGCATGATCGCAGAGTCGTGACAAATATAAGAGGAAAACACCTGGGTGAAGCCAATGCTGTTTTATCTCACGTCTGCACTGGGGTGTGCTCCACAACTTGGCTGAGATGTGGCAGCTTATGAAACTCTAATTGGACTGTTTCTGCCAGCCCTGAGAGCTCATGTTGGTTTTAATAAGGCAACAGGCTCCTAAAACAGGAATCTAAATCAATCTGAATGGTGGCAGGGTTCATTCTTCTGGCAAAGGTAGACCAGTTATCAGCTGTGCAAGCAACAGGCAGGAGCTGCCAAGCATGCCTTGACCCCTGTGTTGGATTTTTATCTGTGAAACAGGTAACCAGTTTGGTCCCAGTGGATGGAGATGTTTTTCTACCCACCCTGCTAAAAGCTTTCTGGCTTTCAAAAGACATTAAAGTTGAATATTTGCCACTAACCGTGTTGGAAAGCTTGTTCCATCCCAAATAAAGGAACAATTCTAGCCAAGCCCCTAGTGAGACAGTGCTCCAGTTTTCTAGTAGCAGAAAAAAGGAGCGAGATGCAATTGGATGGGCAGTGATTCCATTGAACCAATAGATTTTATTTTTTTTTAAAGTATTTCCTGGAGGAAAAAGTCTCTTGAGCACCCTGGGAAAGAAAGGAGCTGCATTAGTGAGAGCAGCTGCAGCAGTTTGAACAGCTGCTGGAGGAGCAAAGGAAAAACCACCCCAGAAAGCAAATCCTGCTGCAGCTTTAAGGGAAAATGAGTAACTTTGGTCCTTGACCTCTTCTCCAGCAGGTTCCCATCAGTGCTGTGATCATCTGCTGGGTT